GGCAAAAAGTCCTAGTGTGAGTATGCCCTGAGAAAGGTGATGAGAGAGAAGAAAAGGTGAGAAAAAGAAGAAAAGAAAGAAAAAAAAGACGAGGGATATGTGCATCTTCGCGTGTTAGGGGGGTTGGAAATGGGTTGGGGAAGCGTTTGGTCCTCTTCTCCTGCTTCGCTCGGAGGAAGGACAGTTTTGTTTGCTGCCCTGGGAGGAGGTGGAGCGAAAGTTCTCTCTCACCTAACTGACCCCGCTCAGTTGCTACACCCTTGTTCAAATTCTGCTGGTCATCATCTGATTGCATCTGGATTTGAACTTGGGTTAGAAGATGAGCAAAATTCAGAATTATTTTATTGAATTTATTCTGTTCATCTCTGATTGCATCTGGATTTGAACTTGGGTCAGTAGATGAGCAAAATTCAGAATTATTTTATTGAATTTATTCTGTTCACCTGATTGCATCTGGATAGAATTATCTCATTCAGTGCATCTCTCTGATCGCATCTGGATTTGAACTTGGGCCAGTAGATCAGCAAAATTCATCATTATTTTGTTGAGTTTATTGAACTTTATTCTGTTCATCTGATTGCATCTGGATTTGAACTTGGGTCACTAGATGAGCCAAATTCATAATTATTTTATTCTGCTATTCATCTCTTATTGCATCTGAATTTGAACTGCTGAAATACAGACCTGCGTTCAAAGCCAGATGCAATCAGAGATGAACAGAATGAAATGATTCTGAATTACCTAGGGCTGGTCATGAGATGAGATGACATCTCAAGCTCGTTGCCCATCAGATAAAAAAGAAAGAAAAGAAAATAGAATTGTCTCGCATGTCTGTGTTCTGGACATTTTATTCAATCTCTCCGTCTCTCTCTCGTGTCTCTCTCACGCTCACCCACAGAGACGATATTGTAAGGGCTTGTTCAGTGTGCAAGGAACATGAGTATGGACGAAGCACAGAAGTCCAGAATGCAAAATCACACTGAAGTCCAAGTATTCAAAGCCAAAGCAGATAGCACATGGAACCGAGTAACCATCCCATTGAGAATGATACAGAAGAATCGTGAGTCAATGTCCATGCCCAACAG